TCGCTTGCCACTTGACCCTTGTCGTGCGCGCTAGATGGATTACAGGGTGAGAAAGGACATTGAACAGGACCGTATATACTAGCTTACTGAGCTGATTAAGTGTCATCGCTCTTTGCTTCTCAATGACGCCCACAATCGAGCTATCCACCATCCTCGTAACAGAAGGCGACGCCAGATAGTCTTGAGTGCGCGCCAAGATCACGCTCAGTTGATTCCACTCATGCAGTTGGATGTCGGTATAGATGTATTCCACGTTTAATCGAACGTATGCTCCAACATCGTAGAGTTGATGAGCAAGATCTCTCTCTGTTGCCTCTGAACTCATTACGAGCTTCTTCAAGAGGTTCTCGATTGCATTAGTCCGACTATATTCGTCAATAGATAGCTCTTTTGACTTTCCAGAACCAAGGCTAAGGATCACCGACACCTGTCGCTCGTCGCCATATACTCTTTGGGCCTCGTTGAGTAGCTCTCTGGTTGGGTTGTTGAAGGCGAGGTTTGCTCCGTTGAGTTCCAGTGCAGCATATTCAGGTCCGATCGAAACAGGGTCGAAGAGTGTCGGGAGCGCGATAGTTGCACTGAGAGCGTCGACTACTGAACATTCGACTTGGCTTTGGCGCGAGGAATAGGTGGAGAGCCATTGACAGGAGCTAGAAGCAGTCGTCCGTGCTACCAATAGCGCTCTAGATGGTTCAATAGTCAGGAAACCATTCATCCACGAGAGTAGACCGAGTACGAATACTTGCATTTTACAAGGCGAAGATAAGAACCGTTCATCCTGTAGCCCGACATCCATCGATATTCCTTGTCTTTGCAACATCTCTGTGATTTCTCCTTTAAGTACTTCAAGCCGTTCTTTTGGCGTGAGCACGTCGGATTCGTTCATTCGCAGTTTGGATCCAAGCGAGTGAAGCTCTTTTATCGCGGCGCTAACTGTCATTCGGAGTGCTCCCAGTATAAAACCAACATATCTATAACTTTCAGTTATCTTCGATATTTTAACGCCCGATATACACTTACGCGCCAAGTCCCGCGCCACCTATCAGGTCAAAATAGTCTGCAGGCTTCATCTGTTTCTTGTCGAGTTGTTTGTCATACGCAATACGACCCATGATCTCGTCCAAAATGACCAATTGGGAGAAGCAGCCCGGCCCACCGCCATCTGCCGCATTATAAAAGCGACCACTGGTTAGCACGAAAAAGGTGGCAGGCACGCTACGGTGCACGCACCAAGACTTAGTATTCGAATACCATATGCACTGTCTTGTTCTCCCATTTCATCAACAAAATAACCGAAGGTGGCGTAGGCGTAGCTGGAGGTCAAATCGAGCGTCTACCATTTTCATTCCAAATAAATCTGAAGGTCGGCTGGATTGACATCCTCTCGACCGCCCATTCCGTTTCCTTTCGCCCAAGCTTCACACTCATTCATGCATCTATAAAGGGAAAATCATGTAGTGTGTACCATCTATTTCGTTGCTACTTCATGAATCGGGTCCAAGATGTCATCCGTTCGGACTAACCGTCGGAGGATGTTTACTGTCGGCAATACCACCATTTGTCCTGTCGTATAGCTATTACTAAATCGACAAAATGCATGGATTGATACGTGAGTGATGCGTATATGTGCAGTGGGCCAGTGGCAGCGGAGTTTTAGTTCGTTGGACCCGTTCCTCTCTAGCTATGTAGCCAATCCGACACTCCTCCACCCACTTCCATTATGTAAAATTCGTCACATTTTCCAACCTCATTATCCAATAGCTATCGAATTATCGTCTCCTCG